GTGGAGGGCTTTGGGGACCCCATGAAGGAATTCTGGCTAGGTATGATTTCTGAGAGCCCGGGAGGGATGGGATTAGAGGGGTGGTTTCCCACTTGAAAAGCTTGAGGAAGCTTGCAGTGTTCAGGGCAACGTGGACCCTCTGAGGGACCTGGTGCCCATGGTGTTGGTGAGGCCACCTTGCTGAGAACGTTTGCGGGAGCTGAGCTCAGTTCTGGCCTTGGGAAAGGGGGGGGGGCTGTTACATGCATGATGTGTCTTATGCTGTGTCTGCACCTGAGAGGATCTTCCTGGAGCCGGAATTCACGCGCCACGCTAATAGGAGGATAGTTGATTGATTGGGCTTCTGGGGTCTCATCCAGAAGTGGTTCCAGGGGTCTCAGAGACTGTACTTGCCATGCCATTCATTAGGGCCATTTTTTCCCCCCTTCCCTCAGCGCCATATTCTGGAACAGTTGTTCACAGAGTGCCATGGCGAAGCACCAACTGGGAGACGAGGCATGAGCGTGCTAATCTTGACACTTGGTTTCTGCGTTAATGTTGGTGGTTTGCTTGGCACGAAGTTCCCTGTAGGGCTCGTAGAGTAAGTCGGTAATCTGTTCTCCTACTTGCTGAGACGAGTGGATGATACATAGACCCAGTTCTGCTTCGGGGAGAAGGTCAAGAGCGGTAGGCTCCCACAGGACGAGGTTCACACACGCGTGCGTGCGCCCCTGCCTTGGAAGTCTTAGGAAGAGAAGGTGAGCCGCCCACAAAGAGCGTGCGTGCGTCGGGGAGGCACCGCTTTCACGGAGGCTGGTGAAGGCTCCGGGGACTTTTGACCCGGAAAAGCTCAGCTGCAAATGGTGAGCGCTCACACACATGGGTCGACTGGCTGTGCGAACTCCATTCTCTCCTTTTAGGACTTGACAAGCTGCACAACATCACCACGGGTGCTCCTTCCCGGTACGAGGTGAGAGTGGATTTGCAGACTGCCAATGAGTCTGCCTATGCTGTGTACGATTCCTTCCAAGTGGCTTCCAGCAAGGAGCGGTATAAGTTGACTGTTGGGAAATACAGAGGCACGGCAGGTAAGGAAAAATGTCTGCTGACAGCTAGAGTCTCTTGCTGTCTGTGTGTCTAAGGA